TATCCTGAATATGATTGACTTTAAGGAGGGGACTTTCCCTGTTAGATATTTGGGAATCCCCTTGGCTCCTCTTAAGGTCTCTGTGGCACAGTATGCCCCTCTGTTGGATTCCATTACTAATTGTATTAATGCTTGGAATACCAAGACTCTTTCTTATGCGGGGAGAGTTGAGCTTATCAAGTCCGTTATTCAAGGTGTCCATTCTTTCTGGCTACAAGCACTCCCTATTCCTAAGGCGGTGCTGGATAGAATCACTTCTATCTGTCGCATCTTCCTTTGGGGGTGCAAGTATGCTAGAGTGGCTTGGGCTGATATTTGTTTTCCCAAAGAGGAAGGTGGGCTTGGCATACATAATACCCATGTGTGGAATTCCGCACTCCTTGCCAAAACCCTTTGGGATATCCATATTAAAAAGGATAACCTTTGGGTGAAATGGATCCACGGTGTCTACCTTAATGGTAGAGGTGTGTGGGAGTTCACACCGCATAAAAGAGACTCCCAATTGATTAAGAAGATTGCTTTGATTAGGGATCAGATCTTATCCCATTTTGAGAATATTCATGATGCTATTGAATACCTTAATAATTGCCAAAACAATGGCAAACTTTCCTCGTCTAAGGTCTATGATCTTATCAGAGCTAGGGGGGAACCTCAACAGTGGATGTCTTTCATTTGGAAGACCTATATTCCTCCCAAGTTCTCTTTCACGGTCTGGCTTGCCTTCCGTAACCGTTTGGCCACTTGTGATAACTTGTATAGGCTCGATGTTGTTAACATTTGCCCTTTTTGTAAGGGTGGTCCGGAAACGGTGCCACACCTATTTTTTGCTTGTTCTTTTTCAGGTACCATTTGGAACAGGGTCAAAGGTTGGTTGGGGATCCCTAGAGAGATGAGGACCTTGCGCAGCTCGCTAAAGTGGATCAAAAGGCAAAGACAAGGAGCAGGAATCAAAGCAAAAGCGGCCAGGATTGCGTTCTGTTACTCTGTCTACTGGATTTGGAGGACCCGCAATGCCACTGTTTTTGACGGCCTTATCCCTAAGGAGGATGATGTGTTTGCTAGAATACAATACATTGTGTATAAAATCCTTTATAACCTGTATCCGCATAGCCTTGTAGGTTTTTGATTGTTCCTTTTGCTCGGCCTCCAACTTGTGTTTGTGTTTGGCCGTGCCTTTGTTGCTGCCAGTGAGGGATGGGCTATCCTTGTAGGTTTGCCTTCATTTTTGTTTCCCTTTGTTTGTACATTCTGAACCTTTGGTTTCTTGGATGATTTTTTATATATACTTACATTTCATCCAAAAAAATGAAACTGCTTGTGTATAGCAGTAAATCTTGTATGCATTGCGTCAAATCAAAAGCGCTAAATCTATTTCATTATTTGCTATTCCAAATGCATAAGAACATTCTATGAAATACCAGATACTTCTTTTGTAGAGGTAAAGAAAACGAATACAAGTTAACTGGTCTTGGAAGTTGGAAGCTCAATAGTGGCTGCACTTATGTGTAACAGCGAGGTGGTAAAGTTTGATTTAAGGGAAATTACCAAAGAATATAACGTAAGCCATTTTCAACAACACGACCAACTGAGAAATATATAACATGTTCAACCTTATACTAATAGTGTGATGTGTCTTCCAGTTAAAAGAAGTTATGACACTGGGTTGGTAAAAAATTTCCTGAATTACTTATTTCTAGCGTAATACAAGCTATATTGAAAAACATCTTCAACTATTTATTTTATACATTATTTAGTACTATGTTTAGTGGCTATTTTTTTAATATATGACATGTTATGTTTGTTAGAATTTACTACACACGAATTCAATTGAGATCTCCTCCAAAAGAATTATGCATACACATAACCACAAGAAGTGATGGTTTGTGGGTGAACTATGCTTCTGGTAGAGATTGCCTACGCGAAAATTTGTTAGAGTTATAATGCATCTTAATGTTTTCCTTGTAAGTTCAAGTTCAATGAAAATTTAGAATAACTAACATGTTTTTACTTGATAAATTTTCATGTAGGTTCAATCAGCATTCTTCGACCCATCAGCGTAAATGACATCGGGATTCATTTCATGCTCAGACCACAAAATTTGGATTGGGGATGGATAGAGATGTTCTGCCAAAACCATATGACCCACTAATATCACTTCGGAGGAGGTTATTGGCATTGGTTGATTACGTGCACAATGTCATCTACTTGGAGAAAACCAGTGGAACATCAGCTATAACACTTCCACTCAAATTATTTTTGGGTAAGCTTGGTTAAGTATTAAATAGTTTGAATATAAAATCTATATATATATATCAATTCTCTTTTTTCTGACTATAGAGATTTAATTCATGTATTTGCAACTTATTTAATTACTTTAACATCACAAATGTGCAACTCAACACCAAGGCGCAGAAAGTCTTACTGCTCTAATTGATGGAATATTTGGACTTGAAGTTTACCTAATCTCTACCATCAACTAGCTCTCAGCAAACAGAGTAATGCCATCAGTATTCTCTCATTATTTGAAAAGAAGTGGCGGTAGTACATTGATGCTTGCGCAAGTTGAGGAGCATATATCGTTCACATGCCAATGGTTGGAAAGTATGTGTTATCTTGTAGATAAAATAAATTATAAACTCAAATTTTAATAGATTGTATTAGCACCCACACCCTATTTAGAGGTTGCACGATTATTGCAAACCCCACACTAAAAGTTACTGGTTTTTTAAAGTTTTGGGGCGCATTTAATTACATGTTTACATGCATATGTATGTATGATGATACTTGTTTGTTTATAAACTTACTCTTTAGTGGAATTATGCATTCATAAGATTGATTTGTGAATCTTTTATGAAACGTTTGTCTAACATACATGCATCCCATGTCAGACTAAATTACAATGTGGAGTTACAGAGTATTTATGTCAATGACCAACAAGTACCAATTGATCCATAAACATTTGGTACAAATAATGGTGGAACAATAATTGACTCGGGAACAACTATGGCTCACATTGTGTCTGAGGCACATGATCCTCTCTAATCAATGCACTAAATTAATTACTATTACTTTATCAACTTAAGAGTGACCATTATTTGATCAATTACAAAAGGGAAATGGTAAATATGAGTGGAGTCTGTATGCACCTTAACCAGTTAAGTTTTTCAATTGTAATTTTCACCATTGTTCTTATGTACATGTATATACCAACCATGTTGTATCTACATATGCTAATGGGCTTTATATATAGTGGATACTCAATGCTATGCATCCACATTCTGATACTCATCTACAGCTCTACCAATTTGGCTCACATTTTCTTTGTCGCATCACTCATTGAGCTTGAACTATTTTTTCCATGCATGCACTTTGAATATATGGCATTATAATCGTCTTAATTTTTGGATACATGGTGTTTTCTATTTTTCCAATACTCCATTTCAATTTCGCTTGAGGTGCTTCAATGACGTTAAGGTCAATTGATTACCTTATAAGTCAAGATTCTGTGGTGAATATAATTTGTATACTTTAGTGATTTGTTAAGTAATTGGACATTTAGCACATGTTAAATACCCGCTAATATTGTTAATTAAATACTCTCTCCGTCCCGCTAATATTGTCTCTCACAATAGAGACAATATTGTCCCGCACAGAGAGACTATTTGACATGCGCTAAATATCCAATTACTTAATGAATATCACCGAAGAACACCGCGTATACTTATCACAAAATTTTGACTTATAAGGTAATCAGTTGCCTTAACGTCATTGAAGAACCTCTATCGAAATTGAAACGGAGTATTGGAAGAACAGAAAACACCCTGTATTCAAATATTAAGACCATTATAATGCCAAATATTCAAAGTACATGCTTGGAAAAAATAATTCAAACTTAAAGAGTGATACAACAAATATGATGTAAAACAAATTGGCGGAGCCGTAGTGGAGAACCTGAATGTGGATGCATAGCATTGAGTATCCCCCATATAAATCACATTAGCATGTGTCAATTAAGATTTGGTTGATCTATATATGTAAATAAGAGCATTAGTGATTATCACAATTGAAAATATAATTAATTAAGCAGCATGCACACTCCAAATATATTTACCATTTCCCTTTTGTAATTGATCAAATATAATAATGGTCACTCTTAAGTCGATTAAGTAATACTCCGTAGTAATTAACATAGTGCATTGATTAGAGAAGACCATGTGCCCCGGACACAATGTGAGCAAGAGTTGTTCCTGAGTCAATTATTGTTCCACCATAATTTGTACTAAATGTTTGTGGATCAATTGTTAATTGTTGGCCATTTACATAAATACTCTGCAACTCCACATTGTAATTCGGTATGAAATTGGTTGCATGAATATTAGAGAAACTTTTCCTAGAAGATTTACAAATCAACCTTGTGAATGTTTAGTTGTACTAAAGAGCAAGTGTATAAACCAAAAAATATCATGATACATACATATGCACGTACACATCTAATTAAATGTGCCCTAAACTTAGACAAACTGGTAACTTTTTAGTGTGAAGGTTGCAATGGTCATGCAACCTCTAAATAAGGGTGTAGGTGCTAATACAATATACTCAAGTTTGAGCTTATAATTTATTCTATCTACAAGACAAAATACATACCCTTTAATCATTGGCATGTAAACAATATTTGGCTCCTCAACTTGTCCAAACATCAATGTACCACCACCGCTTCGTTTCAAACAATAAGAGAATATCAGTTGCATTCACTGTTTGCTGAGAGCTGGTTGATAGTGGGGATTTGGTTAACTCCAAGCCCAAATACGCCATCAAGTAGAGGAGTCTGACTTTCTGTGCCTTGGTGTTGAATTGCACATTTTTGATGTTAATGTAATTAAATAAGTTATAACTATATAAATTAAATTGCTCCCGTTAAAAAAGAGGAAATTGAAATATATATATATATATATATATATATATATTTTTAATCGAGCTATTTGATACTAAACAATGCTTACCCAAAAATAATTTGAGTGGAAGTGTTTATAGCTGATGTTCCACCAGTTTTCTCCAAGTGGATGACATTGTACACGTAATCAATGAATGCCCAATAACCTCCACCATATTATTAATACTGGATGCAATGATTTTGGGAAGAACATCTGCATCCATCCGCAATGCAGATTTTGTCGTTTGAGGATGAAATGAATCCGGATGTCATTGATGCTGATGGGTCGAAGAATACTTGTTGAGCCTGCATAAAAGATCATCGAGTAAAAAAATTTAGTTATTCTAAATTTTCATTGAGTTAAACATTAAGATGCATGATGCCTCTAGCAAACTTTTGCGTTGCCAATCTCTACAAGAAGCATAGTTCACTCACAAACCATCACTTCTTGCGTATATTTGTACACATAATTCTTTTGGTGGATATCTCAATTGAATTCGTGTATAGTAAAGTCTAACCATTATAACATGTCATATATTAAAACAATAGCCACCTCACTTGATATTATTTAATGTATAAAATAAATAGTTGAAGATGTTTTTCAATTTAGCTTGTATTGCAATAGAAATAAGAAATTCAAGATAATATTTTTCTAACCCGATATCATAACTTCCTTCAATGGGAAGATTCATTGCACTATTAGTGTACGGTTGAATGTGTCACATACATCTCAGCAGTCGTGTTGTCGATAATGGCTTATGTTTTACTCGGTAATTTCCCTCAAATCAAACCTTAACATCTCTCTGTTACAAATAAGTGCAGCCACTACTAGTATTATGCTCCGCAAATAAGTGAAACTCCTCTTAGTCATTGATCCAACCATGATCCTGTTTGATTCAAAATGGCACACAACATGTTTCCATAAATTTCAGAACTTGAATATAGAGCACTAGTTTATTACAAGGTTCATGCATGATAGCTCTACAATTAATTAAGCATGTGACAATCTTAATTAATGGGATAGACAAGACAATATTAGCAGATCAGTGGAGAGTATTATATATATATATATATATATATATATATCCATATATATAATTGTTTTATCGTCCATTCACAATCTTGTGATTCACCAAATGGATGTCAAAAATGCGTTTTTAAATGGTGAATTGGAGAAGGAGGTGTATATGAAACAACTTGAATGATTTGCTGTTAAAGAACAAGAAAAGAAAGTTTGTAAACTTCTCAAATCCTTGTATGGTCTAAAACAAACACCTAAACAATGGCATCAAAGGTTTGATGAGGTGGTTCGGAATATTGTTTTAAAATAAACCAATCAGACAAATGCGTAAATAACAAATTTAATGAGCAAAAGGCAATGATGTCATTACTTGTGTATATGTGGATGACATGCTCATATTTGACACATATTTGAGGCAAGTGAAAGAGACAAAAGCTTTCCTCTGTTCAAACTCTCCACGAAAGATATGGGTGAATTGGATGTTATCCTTGGAATTAGGATAATTTAGCAAGGTGATACAATCACTTTAACACAATCTCACTACATAGAGAAAGCGTTGAAAAGATTTGGGAGTTTGGATTCTTCCCCGGTTTCGACTCCTATGGATCCTAGTTGGAAATTAGTTCTAAATAGTGGGAATGTTGCATCTCAGCTTGAATATGCTAGGGTAATTGGGTGTTTGATGTATGCAATGACTAGCACTTGACCAGATATTGCATTTATGGTATGCAAGTTTAGTAGATATACTAGTAACCCTAGTATATTTGATTGGCAACCTTGAGGCGAGTGGTGTAATATCTAAAGAAAACAATGAGCTTTGATTTATGTTATAAGAGTGAACATTGTATACTAGAAGGTTATACGGATGCAAGTTGGATAACCAATCAAGAGGATTATTCACCAACAAGTGGTTTGGTTATTCCTTCTTGGAGGAGGTGTTATTTCATGGGCATCTAAGAAACAAACTTGTATCACGTACTCTACCATGACTTCAAAGTTTATAGCTTTAGAATCCGTTTGTAAAGAAGCGGAATGGCTAAAGGATTTAGTGTCAGAAATTCCGATATGGCCTAAACCTTTATGACTCCGAGATCAATCCATTGTGATAGTTCATCAACTATATCAAAAGCATACAACCATGTGTACAATGATAAGTCAAGGCACATAGGAGTGAGACACAGCTATGTGCGAGAACTTATTAGTTCTGGAGTTGTTGTGATTGAGTTTGTACGGTCGCATGTAAATTTGGCGGATCCTTTTACAAAAGTGATGCCAAGGGACATGGTGTATAAAACGGCAAAAGAGATGGGTTAAAGCTCTTAGAATATAATCACAAGTGACAGAAAGTCCAACTCAACATCTAGTACAACGCTAGATCTTAAGTTCAATGAAGATCGATGAGTAAGTCACTCCATGGTTGAAGTACTTTTGAGTATAACCATCCCGAGGTAATTGTTTGAGTGTTTGATTGCAGAATCTTGCATTAGGATTGGGTGATGTGAGACCTATTTTAGCCGTCGTTGGCTCATTTATGCCCATTATAGGATCATCAAGTCATATTTCATTTTTGAAAGTGGTTGACTCTAAGTCTGATTTGAGAGATGACAGTTGCATGTGGTCTTTTTGTTGTTTAACCCCATCTGAATGCTATGATATCAATTGAAACCTTCTTAAAAAAACACTACTTTTAATGTGCATGGCTATTGGAGCTTTACTATTTGTGAACTATTTGGAATTACAACGTTTCTTGCAACTATTTGGAATTGCAAAATGGATTTTAAATTTAAAATACTACTCACAAAAAATCTGGGTAAATAAAAATCATGGTTGAGAAGAAGTTGATAGATTTGAAGATCATTTGAAATTTTTTATGTGACAATGACATGACAATAAAGTTCATGAAAGCTCTATAAATATATACTTCTTCCGTCCCAATATAAAGAGAACATTTTCTTTTTCAATCATTTTTAGGAGGAACACTGTTTGGACACTGTTTGACACTATTTTGCACTGTTTTGTTTGCCAAAAAAAGAAATGTGTCTTTTATATTGGGACGGCCCAAAAAGGAATATGTGCCTTTTATATTGAGACGGCGGGAGTATAACTTGTTCCCCTAAAAAATTACACCAAACAATGTTCTACTAACACTTTACTGGGAATTGCAAAATGCATTTTAAATTTAAACAACTTACTCATAAAAATCAAGGTATATAAAAATCATGGTTGAAAAGAAGTTGATAAATTTGAAGATCAATTGAAACTTTTTACGTGACATGACAATAAAGTTCATGATAGCTCTACAAATATATAACACGTTCCCCAAAAATGTGCATCAAACAATGTTCTACTAACATTTTATTGGAAACTAAGAAAGCAATATTCAATGATGGGAAGCCTTATGTACTCTGTATTCATCTTAAAGTTAAAACTATGGTCATTTTTTTTTGAAAAGTTGTTTCAAGTGAAAAGGTACACATATACTCTTCTAGTATGTGTGGAAACAAATATATCCATATTCTATTTTTTTAGAATAATATACCCTTGAAATTTATGTGGAGGTGCATATATTCCTCTGAACTTTAAATATGTGCAAAAAACACCCCGCATTCTCCTATAAAGGAGCAAATTTATCCTTATTGACTATAAATATAATAGATAAAATAAATTTCAATTAACACACAAAATAAATTATAAATTTGAGAATTGAAAAAAAAACGTCTTGTGTCCAATTCTCCCTTTTATTATTTTTATATCACAATTTAATGTTGTTAGTGTAAAATATTATTTCGAAACTTTACCATATATTTAAGATTTTTTTTTTGAAAAAATGTTAACATATGTGTTGCAATGTAAAAACCATTCAAATTTTGTATTCTTTACACTAAATCATTTATTTTGTATGATGATAAGTACTCCAAGATTATAAAATAGTGAATTTAATTTTTTAAGGTTAAAAAAAATAAAGAATGTTATTTCAAAATATGTAACAATGTGTTCAATGTTTTGCAACAAGACTAAACTTAATATTTATGAATTTGAAGTGCTTCATATTTACAACGGAAAATTATAATTTTGAAATTTAAAATTAAAGAGTTAATATTTTAACATAAAAATTAATATCAATTTTTAACTCTTTAGTTTTATTTTTCAATTTCAAATTTATAATTTATTATTATGTATTTTTTAAAATAATATTATTTATTTAAAGTCCATAAGAGTAAATTTGATCCTTTTTAGGAACATGAAAGGTATTTTTGCACCTTTTAAAAAGTCAGGATATATATGCATCTGAACATAAACTTCAGGGGTATATTTGTCACAAAAAATAGAATAGATATATATTTTTTCTCACACCCATAATACATGGGTATATTTGTACTTTTTTCCTTTTTTCAATATCTAGATATATAATTAATGGAATCACATATATATATATTTGAAAGTCATCAAATTAAAGAGTGCATTCAGTAGTAATATACGTAATTACGTAGTATCACATTATACTCTTTTTGCCCCTAAATTTCTTACAAAGTACATTTGATAAATGGATTAAGATAATGAGTATTATGTGACGAAAAATTGAGTAGAAGAGAAACAATTGCATAACAATATGTAAGAATAACTGTGAACCACAAATACTTTACCAAAAAAGAAATGCAAGATTATTTTATGACGGGAGAAAAAGAAAGTTTGGTGGATAATTTAGAGAGACGAGGGAGTAGCATTTATAAAGTAATATACAGATTTAATTAGGATCGTAGTTATGTTGGAAGACTTTTGTATACACATTCATATAGTTTATATACCCGCAGGTTATTAGCTTGAAAGTACTACTGGTTTTACAAATTAAGCAGTTGATCAAGTTGAATGTTAAAATTTGTCTAAAAAAAAATAGAAACACAACTCATATTTGTATAATACGTAAACGGTAATTCGGTAAATCAGAAAAAGTTAATTTACAAATAAAACTATGTATACACATATACAGGTATACCGATAGTATATATTAATAATGTATTATGAATAAAAATATTACAACTTGCCTATTGCAATTAGCAATCATCTCAATTCACCGGCACCTCATTATACTTCCCATCCAATTATCCAAATTGATAAAACGGTAAAATTTAAACATATTATTATGTGACGAGTTAGGAATATCATCTGAATATTCCTTCTGGAAGCATCTAGCTTTAAACTGTGTCACTGATTTTTGCATGAAATTATAGAGCCATATAATTTTGGACAATTAACTGACAAATAAAGAAATTTTCAATTAATTGGCACTATAGAGCCCGTTTGGTAGCACCAAAATCGGCTGTTTTGGCTGATTCTGCTGAAATTTATGATATTCTGGCTGGAGTGGCTGTTTTGGCTGATTCTGCTGATTTAAGAAAAAAATATTTTAAAAATATATTTTATTAATAAATTAAAGAAAAAATTATATGTAAAAATAGCTAAAATGGTCCTCTACAGTAACTTCAGCCAATACAGCCAGAAAAGTAACTCCAACCTTACTTTTTCGGCTTATTACACAATTCAGCGCGCGAAAGTAAAAGTTACGTGTTTGGTGAAAAAGCTGGCTGATAAGCCTGATAAGCCGAAAACAGAGTTCTCGAAACGGGCTCTAAGTTTAATACGGAGTACACACCCCCCATCTTTTTTAGATTCAGGTGTTGATCAATAATGATGATGAATAAAAAAGAGATGTACCTTAGGGTCGTCATCATATGTACGCTCCTAAAGCTCTGGCAAACGGAAACTGAAAAAGCTACAGGAAAATACAATTGATATTAGAATCACCGGAGTGAAAAGGAATTAAGAGAGCATATATAAAGGTGATGATGTTATTTCCTTGTGAAGCATTTGATATTTGCCATTACTTTCTTTTATACGGTGCACATGTCAGAGAATAATACGGAGTATTTGCGATTGCTTTTACTTTAAAAAATTGATTTTTTTAAAATAATTTTTGAGAAAATTTTTAATCGTAAAAGTTAATAATAGTGTTTGAGAAAAATATGCTTTTGAAAAATCAAAACTGAGTAGTGTTTTAATAAAATAAGTGATTTTCGTATAAAGAAAAAGTGAAAACACATTAAAGCGCCTCCCAATCTGTTTCGAGCTTCTAACTATTACAGACTTAAAAAACATATCAGTTTTTTTTTTGTTAAAAACTGAAAATCACTTTTTTAATCTCTTGCAAACACTCCCTTAATACGTACGTACAAGCAGTTGAGCATTTCTATTTTAGGCACTATTTCAAAAGTTCTTCTAATTCCGTTCCTAAGTGTATCTGATGTCTTAAACCGAGAGTTCACGGTGGTTAAATTATCATCTAAAAATACGGAGTATATATTACGGAGTACATTACTACCCATATAAAAAATCACTACTTTACCAGCTTGTTCATATATACTAATCGATCATTGCTTAAGTATTAGTTAACACCTTGTTTAAAAAATTACTCTGTACATAACCTAAATACAAAAATAATTGATTATGATTTAAAGTACTTCTAAAAAATACTACCTCCATCCTAATAGACTACTCATCTTCAGTTGGCAGATATTTTTACTAAAAGTCTTCCTAGTCAATGTTTTCATTTTTTAAAGGACAACCTGCGCGTTGTATCTCCGGCACAGTTTGAGGGGTGTAATAAACTAGGGACATTTATGTATTTTAAACAATATCCTTTTATTATAAATATATCTACCCGGGCTCCAGGGTAACTGGTATCATTCTTTCACACATCCCACCGACCTATTTTTATAATATCTCTTTTACTATTTTTAACTAAATTTTAATTAATAAAACTATATCAACTGTCTAATTTACCCGTAAAACATATCTAAGCAATCGATCAATAATGCACAATACCCTCAATCAATATGCGGAACTTCATCACTCTGCGATCAAGCTTCAATATCACCATTCTGACACCAAGTTTTCATTTGAATTCTTTTGTTTAGTTTCCTTTCGAAATCCACCAATTCTAACAATAAGATTGAAAACGAACAATATTAAAAAAGAAAGCTATTAATCTAATATAAGCAGTTGAGCATGTAAACTAAAAATTGACTGCAAGATTTAATTTTTCTACGCAGCCACTAATGTATTGCTGAGCAATATTTTTTAAGAAAAAATTAATAAAAAGTCGTGCATTTCATTCGAGAATATCAACTTACACGGGCATGTATCTATTGTCGGCAAAGGAGCAATAAATTGGCCGTTTTCTACTTTTTCAGGTTTGAGATATTTATAAATATCCGGCAGGAATGAGGAGACAAGCAAGGCCGCCGGTCTAAGTCATGTGGGGATGGGGAAGAAGACGGGCAAGGTCGATCGAGCTATGTAAGTAGTCCGGCGGGGATGGAAGATCAAAGATAAAGGTATGGAAGATATCAAGTATACTCTCTCAACTAGCTTGTTTATGAACGATACTCCTGATAATGGATGAGCTGAGGCTGTCTGGATGATAGGTTGTATTTATACAGGGACAAATTAAAACAGTTATTTAAAAATAATTTACAGGGTATTTAATTAATCCAATTTAGTGGTTAATCATTTAGTGGTTGTGAATTCACTGAATTGCACTTCTCTTTTCTTACCTACGCACAACAACGGATCGGATACTCCTTTTCTATCTCCATGGGTGATTGGAGCATCCTAATCCCCACGATAGAGGTCCCCAACCCACTATCACACCCTCCTATACCAATTTTAGTTTGGGTTATCAATTAGGGGGTGGAAACTTCAATTTGGGGTTTGGTCCTAACATAGCCTAATGTCCCACAAAAGGTAAGTGAGGGCAAGAATCTTTTTCCGACAAAAGTTATTAGGCAAGGGTTCACATGTGATACATGGCACATGCTCTACATGTTGAAGGCTCCTATCTATGAAGGGCTTAAAATTATTTCCTACCCACAAAATTCTTTCCACTTATCCCTTGGTTTAAACAAATTCTTCCCGATTAGATTAGGACTAGACTTTAAGAAATTCGGAATAAAGTTGACATGTGTGATTTTGGTTGAGTAAAATTAAAATAAATGAATGATAGCTATACAATCCTTACCCAAAAGAAAAACGAGAAGAAGTTCTAAGAAGTATTTTCAGTGACGGAGGGAGTACCAATTTAGGATGTTCCAAAACATTCTTCTTATTTCCCGTTTTCGAAAGTTTTGTGTGATTAACATTGATTTACTTTTTTCTTACTCAACCACAATCATACATTTTAACATTATTCTCACTTTCTTAATAAGCTTGCCAAGATAAATCGGGAAGTATTTTTTGGGACAGGTGGAGTAATATATTTTGATTTCTTTATTATTATTTATTTCATCACTAACTTTAATTTTGATTATTTAAGTTTATTCATTTAATAAATTAAATAATATTTAAAATTTATAAAATGTGTAGTACTTTCTCAGTTCTCTTTTAGTTGTCACGGTCCAATATTCACGTTTGCCAACACACAACTTTGACCATTAAAATATTCCATTTCTTATTAGTAAAAAAATTAAAATTTTCATATATTGTACTCTAACAATTTTTTCCAAAAAAATAACTTGTACTCTCTTCATCCCCTAACTTTGTCTCGTTTTACCTTTTTCGTTCGTCTATTTAACTTTATAGGGCATTGCTAGCTTATTTAATAACTTATATTCCCTCCGTCCAGTCCTCTCTAAATAGCAAGGTCATGAAAAGTTAATTTGATCACAATTCCTTTTATGTGTAAACAAAAAGTTTTATATTTTATATTTTTGGTGTATTTTGTAAATTATAATAGATCCCACCTACAAGATGGTTCAGAGCATCTCCAATGGGGTCACTATTCACATTAAAAGAATTGCCACTTCATCCGGATTTAACATTGCCGCAGAAATTCGTTTCCAATGCACAATGTTCACTCTTGTATAATGCTGACATGTCAAAAGTTAATGTTGACACTGTTTTCACCACTGTCATCATACTACAGCGCATTTAACATGCTGACTCAGCGCAAACGTGAAGCAGATACCTTCTCCTGGAGGCTTCCGCAGAGAGACGTGCCATAGCCCATAGTAACTGACTTCTCCATTCTTCCAATAACTTAATTTCTGATTAGGTATATAGATTCCTTAATTTTATGCAGATTTCCAATTTTTAAGGTGTAAAAAAGATTAATCCATCAATATGTTCTACGTAAAAGAAACTACGTAGTATTTCAAAACCCAGAAGTCAATTCATCCGAAAACGATGCAGAGTTCATTGCTTTTCATCTGTACAAAAATTGAATTTGATATCAATTCACAATTCTATAAAGTAATCTGGCAGATCTAGAAGGATTTTGGGGTGCAATAGTAAAATGATTAAACATGAGGCGTTTTAATTTTAAAAAATTCTCTTAAATGGCTTACACGTTGATGGTGGTTATGCGTAAATTATACCGTACACCCGGTTGTACGGTGTTCACCGTACAACCGGGTATTTTTGCAATTAACTACAACTCCAGTGGTAAATATGATGTAATCGATCGGATCTTCTCTGTTGTGCTTGAGCTGTTGGATTGTGAGGGATTCGGTGGTGTCTAGGTGTTGTTCGCCGGTCGTGGGAGTTGATGAAGAAGCTGGATGCCTGGATAACTGGATTGATGTCTGCTCGCTGACGTCTTGATGAAGGAGAATCAGGGGCGGCTTGGCCTTCTATCCAGCTAAATGCAAACTCTTCTATCCAAAAAAAATTCCAGATCTCAAATTCCACTGACAATTTTCAGCTTTTCTTTTTTGAACGGTTGACAATTTATGTTAATCATCTAACATACTTTAATTATTTTAACTATCATATGATTTGCAATTTCATATATTGTATTTTAATATTGTGAAAATATTTTCAGCTTGTTTATTACCAACATAAGTTTTATGTTACATTGAAAATGAGTATAGTGTTTATAGTATATGTGCATAACGGTTAAAAAGTTGAACATAAAAAATGAATATTTGAGTACTTTAGAAAATTGAAATGAGCATACACAAATGAAAATTTGAGCACAGTAGAGAATTTAAAAGGGTTACACAAATGAAAATTTGAGTAAATTTTATATTTATCATTGTAAGTTTTATTAATATATTCCAATGCTCAATTTGTAAGTTACATATGTTTATCTGGTACAGATTTTATGATCATTTTAAAATGTCATATTAATGCATATTTCTAAAGTATGATATTGATCAGATTCGCATAAAAGTTAGATTATATACATGGAAGCAGGCCATGATACCCAATTGCATGTTTCATATTCTCAATAGAGGATGCTTGATGTTCAATGAAAATGTCTTGTTGCTCAACTAACAAAATTTATGATTTTCATGTCATTGCTCATTTGGTAAGTACTTATGCTCATTGTATATTGTTGTTATGCTCATTTTAAATTGTTATATTAATGCATATTTCAAAAGTATCATATTTATTAAATTAGATTCATGATACTCAATTGCATGTTTTCAATACTCAATAGAGGAGATTTGATTCTCAATAAAAATGTCTTGAAGTTCAACTGAAAAATTTATGATTTTCATAGTAATACTCATTTTGTAAGTTACTTTTGCTCAATTGGTACTCACATTATGCTCAATTTTATAATATCATTTCCGTGCAAAATTTAAAAGCTGCATATGACATTAGATTCACTTATTGAATTAAAAGATATGAAGCAGAGATCATAATGCTCATTGTTAGATTCCCAATACTCAACAGAATAAGTTTGATGCTCATCAAAAGTGTTTTAATGCTCATAATAGGTATGATGCACATTAAAAGTTCAGTAATGCTCATTTAACAGAAACTGTGATTTTTGTCTCAATAAAGGAGGTTTAATGATCAATGGAAATGTCATTATGTCAAACTAACAAACTTTACGATTTTCAAATCAATTGACATTTTGTAAGTTACATATGTTCATTTGATAATGATGTTATCCTCATTTTATGTTCATCTGGGAGCAGAGATCATGATACTCAATTGCATCTGTTAGATACTCAATTGTTTAATGAAAATGTCTTGATGCTCAGCTAACAAAGTTAATGATCTTCATATCATTGCTCATTTGGTAAGTAATTCATGCTCATTTTATACTAGTGTTATGCTCATTTTAAAATGTTATATCAGTGCATATTTAAATGCGAATTAATGAATTTTTAATGAGCAACAAACCTATACAAATGAGCATATGTAACTTACAAGCTGAACATTGATATGAAAGTTGTAAGTTTTGTTCGTTAAGCATCAAGACATTTTCAGTGAGTATCAAACATCCGTTATTGAGTATTAGAATCGTGCGATTACGTATCGTGATTTGTGTTCTCGTGCCTATAATCAACATATATGTGAATCTAATATAATATGTGCCTTTTGAAATATACATTGATATACATTTTATAATGAGCATAATAGAGGTACTAAATAGACACACATAATTTACAAAATGAGTTTTCAAAATTTCAAAAGCTCATATGTGTATGTTCATTATATTTAGGCATTTTACTCATTTGAATTTAAAGTGAAACTCATTTATAATGTGCTCAATATTGAATATATAAAGAAAAAGAAAGAAGGAAACAACAAATAAAAGAAACAAAAAAATAAAAAAAGACAAAGGGAAAGAAAGGAAAAACAACTAGCAATAAAAGTAACGAAAGAAATAATAAAATTAAAAAGACAAAACAAAAAGGTAAAATGAACTATGGGGAGCAAATTTGACTCTACGATTCGGCTCTGCTAGTGTAAAGGTAAAATGAACTATCAGTGGAAGAGGGAAAGTTTCATATCCGGGACACCTACAAATACGAAATCCCATCCAGCGGCATAAGAATACAATCAAGCGGATACGATTCAGCGGCAGTACTATTTTATTCGACGGATTTTGTCTCCCAAGTGAAGGCGGACTGTTTGGCCGGCAATGTTGGGTGTGCGGCTCCACCTCGGCGACAACGGCAAATTAAACTCTGGGCGCCGATTGGTAACTGCAATCAACGACCATGTAATTGGAGGATGACCTCAGTGACGACTCTTGCAGTTCGTGAGCGGCGCAGGGCCGGAGTGCAGAAGAAGAAAGAAAAGCAACGAACAAGATATTCAACAAGGAAGATGATAGATTAGGTTTAAAGTTGATAGATATTACAAAAATACCGGATGTACAAGTACACCCGGTTGTATAATATACGCACTCGTGGTTATGTGGGTTGTTGACATCATACATTGGGTATGATTTTTGGGTTTCAACGTGCACCTACATGACTCTAATATGAGGTGGATGACAATTTCATTTATTAATTGCCACGTGTCAAGATTTATAACATGTTAACAATATAGCATTGATGATGCTCTCACACATTTGATTTAAATGACATGTGGCGCCTTATGTCTAGCTAGATGATCTAACAAGAGCTTGTCAATTCATTATTACCATATCATATTATCACCATA